GAAGAAGAAGAAGAAGAAGAAGAAGAAGAAGAAGAAGAAGAAGAAGAGGAGGAGGAGGAGGAGGAGGAGGAGGAGGAGGAGGAGGAGGAGGAGGAGGAGGAGGAGGAAGAGGAGGAAGAGAAAGGGATCATAGAAAAGGAAAAAGATATAGATTTCAAAACAATCCAATAATGTTCCCCCCCCTCCCCCCCGATTCCTCCCCCACCCCCGCCAGCCACCCATTAGAATCCGGGCTCACCTTATTGCCGTTGTTGTACATGGCAACGAGACAAAGGAGGTGGTACATGTGCCCGCATTTCCCCAGTTTTCCTACCAGTTCCGGCTTGGCACTCTTGTGCCTAAGGATACCCTCGTAACCCGAGGAGGACACCAATCTCTCCATGCAGATGGTACAGTCCTGTTGGGGGCGGAGGGGGGAGAGGGGAAACAAATAGCGGGTGTCAGAAATAACTAACAAGGAGGGAGGTTGGGTTCCACGGAGCTGCAAAGCACTGAGAATATTTTTTAAAAATAAAAATAATATGGACTAATAGTTGGAAGGGACTTTGGAGCAGGGGTGGGCTGCTGGGTGTCCATGAGAGCCCCTAGTTAATATTCTGCACAATATTCTGGATGGGTTGCGTGGCCTACGGGGGAGGAAAGGGCCCTGATTCCCTTCATTAGCTACACCTGGGAAGAAAGTATAAAAGAAATGCATGCTGACTGCAGCATCTGCTGGGAGCAAACATGACTTTATCTGGTGTTGACTTTGGTTATCTGCATTCTTGGCATCCTCCCAACCATGTTGAATTACTGCTGTTCCTTCACATCTGGAATTCCTTCTCTTGCCCTGCCGGACTAATTACATCATCTTGCCTTGATTGGACTTGTAGTTACAGTTTTTGTTGACCACGTTTTGGACTTGATTCTCTGCAGCCCAAGGCTGTTCCTGGGAGAGTTTTTCTCCAGCCAGAAGGTAACCTGGACATTGGGGGCAAAGTTGGAGCTAATAAAGGGACTCCTACGGATTATCTGACTGTGTGGCCTTTGTGCCACGCCCTGAGTCATCACAGAATCTCTGTAGGTGGAAATACATCTTCACCAGTGCCTTTAACTGACACAGAGAATCCTGAAATGTATCACAAATTATTTCATGATAATAACTGCAAATGTGGTTGGTGCAAATGTAAGCACTTTCTTGTTGCTGGAAATTACACACCCGAGACCTCACGTCTAGCAGCTCTTTGCTCCAAGTCATTTGCTTCTATTTTTAATCCTGATTTCATCTCAAACCTCCTCTTCTTTTAAACACCTCGAGGTGCCAGGATCTCTTCCCTTTCACTCCACAACAGCCTTGCAAAGTACACTATAATTATAATAGAATAATAGGGTTGGAAGGGACCTTGGAGGTGTGAGAGGAACTTTTACCTTTAAATATAAATTTAACACAAAAATAGTCTGTCATGAAAGTGACTGGGTTCCGGATTGGGGCTGAAAGGGAATACTAGATTGAGAAGGAGGGATCAGTCCACTCGTGCCTGGATATTTTTACACTTTTTTTTGTCACACTCATTCCATATGTTCTGATTTAAGAGACCTTTGGATTTAACAGACCTTTGGAATTAACAGACCTTTGGAATTAACAGACTTCTGGATTTAACGGACAGAAAGTGGGGAAACTCACCTCGTCAGGAGGGTTCTTCACTTTCTGGATGTAACGTCGTACCACGTCCTCGGGGTTTCTGCCTGTAGAGAAGAGAAGAGTCAATGCTGACTCAAAGGCATGAATACATCCTCACCCATCGAGACAATGAAAACTACCTTCTCGAGACAGTGTGACCGCTGTTGTTTGGCCACTGCTCTGGTCCTCATGAAAGGCATTTTATAACTCTCCATTCCCACCTGCGCCCACTGGCTGACAGTCAATTTTGGTCAAAGCAATGCAATGTCTGACCCTACCCAGAGCCAAACGGTTGACTCTCTATGGCCTTTCAGAGTTTCCCACAATGCTCAGGGTACTTGATGCAGCATCCCTCCTGGGTAGGATACAAAATGGCCGCCAACACTAAAAGGGTCCAAAGGCAATACCCAGCATGCGACCCCCACATTTTAATTCCTCAGAGACCAAGGGGGAATCCAGCTTACTCTTCTTCAAATGTTTCTTCTTGGTTTTACGGCAAATGCCAGTAATGCCCGGCACTGCCTTCATGTCGCTCTTGTTGACAGGTGGAGGGTGCAAGATGGGCTTTGGAGCTCGCGTTAGACAGACAGGCAAACCTGCTGCACACATCAAGATGCCGGTCATTCCTGGAACAGAGAAAGCAAGTGATTCAAATAAAACACATTCCATATGTTCTGATTTAAGAGACTTCTGGATTTAACAGAACTTTGGATTTAACAGACCTTTGGATTTAACAGACTTCTGGATTTAACGGGCATGATGTCCTGCCAAACAGTCGGTTAAATCAAATCAATAAAAAAAATAGGAAGGGAGCACCTTTCCTGACTAGCATATTTTACTAAAAAGGCATCATTTCATTGATTACTCTTACCTGCCAAAGCAGGATGGACTGGACCAGTTCCATTCAGATTCTTCACCGGGAGAGCAGGAACCCTGGGAGAGAAAGATGGAGAAGGTTTAAACAGGAATTGAGGGAGCACATGTTTTGGGAGCATCCCCAAAGGGCATAATTTTACCCTCAAAATCTACCCTTGCAGCCTGCCAAGCACCTTAGTCCACCTGACTTACAAACAAACAAACAAATCGCTTTCTCATAGTAGAGTATATATACACTCTGGTTGACTCTGTTGGGTTCTTGATGTTCTTAGAATTCGGTTGTTTTCCTGCAGATGTTTCATTACCAGGCTAGGTAACATTATCAATGTCCCAAAAATTCAAAACACCATTTTTCCCCCTGGGAATCCTTTGTAAAATATTCTTTAATTTGAAAGTTCTGAACCAGTTCGTCTCCATCTCCTCCTCCTCCTCCTCCTCCTCCTCCTCCTCCTCCTCCTCCTTTCCTTCTCTTCTCCCTCCTCCTTCATCTCTTCTTCTCCCCTTCCTCTTCTCCTCCACCTATTTCTCCTTCTCCATCTCCTCCACCTCCACCTCCCCTTCTTCTTCCCTTTCTCCTCCACCTCCCTTCTCCTTCTTCTTAGACATCAACGTGTGTGTGTATGTGTGTATTTTCACTCCCTTTTCTTCTTCTATGATATAGGTGTAAAGGAGAGAGACATTGCACCGTTCCTAGCACATCTGGCACTGCCCGATATGAAGCCAACTTCAAGGGTCAAGGGTGACAATGAATTATGTGTCTCAGAGTCAGCTACACTCAGGCAGTGCTGGCATGTTAACTCCCAGTAAATCCTTTTTTAAGGATTGGCTCGAGATGCATGATTTAAATGGGATTTAAATCTCTATATCCTTTTTGTTAATGAGGTAACCATGCTACGGTATGGAAATACTGGATAAAGGCCCCCATATCACAATTCAGGTAGTCCTCAACTTATGACCATTCAAAGAAAATGTCTTAGAACCAATCCTGCCCTTTGCTACAGTGGCAGCGTCCCTACGAACATGATCAAAATTTGGATGTGCTTAGCAAATGGCGTATATTTACGGCGGAATCTTGTGAATGTCATTTGTAGCCTACTCAGGCAACTAATAAGGAAAATCAATAAGAGAAGATGGAAGCAAAAAAGTTGATGGTACATTTTACCATATGTGGTGGCTATGCCCCGAGACCAGGACATTCTGGACCCAAATTAAAAATTGGCTAGAGGAGATCACCAGTTATCAAATTGAACTCAGATCAGAAACGTTTCTCTTAGGAATTATTAAAGACCAAATTCCCCCCCAAAAGTAAAATATTTAATGTTACATATCTTAACAGCCGCCAGAATAGCCTAGTCACAAGTATGGAAAATTTCTAAATGACTGGTAGGAAATGAATATGCTTGCATTAAAATTGCAAGAGAAAGAAGAGTGAATATTTTCTAATTTGGAACAAATGGTATGACTGGATTACAAACAGAAATAAGAAAGGAAATTCACTTGTAAGAGACCTCAAGAAAACAAATGATAAATATGTAGAATATATAAGAATAATAATTATGGATAAAGTTATTAATTAATGTTAGATAAATGTAAATGTAATGTGTTAAGACATATAAGATAAGAATTTGTATAGATGCCAAAAATGCTATTGAAATTATGATGTTTTAAGTTGTAATAATGGAAATACAATAAAAACATATTTAAAAAAAAAAGTTACCCGGGAGCCAAATTTCCTTCTTTGGCATCATTTTTGGGCCAAAATACCTGATTTTCATCTGCTGTCAGCAACTAACCTTACAACCCTGGCCGGGTCTTTGAAATATAACTTGCAGCAGGGCTCACTCCACACATTCAAAGTCCCCTAAAAATTGCACAACTCACAATCTAAAATGATCACTGTGCCCTTCAAGCACGCTAAGCCGCTCGCAATCTTACACACACACACACACACACACACACACACACACACACACACACCTTCTTCCTGTCCGACTCCTTTTTTGCTGACTCCGACAGTCATCTCGGGTGCTGGCAGCAGAAAATCTCGGAGAGCAAATTTGTCCATTGGCTCATCTTACCTAGTTGTTGACATAGCAGATCCTGCTAGGAGGAATAATTGTTGTGTAACATTCACAATTCTCAACAGCCAAAAAAAAAGCCAACCCCAAACAGCACTAAAACAAACAACAGTAGTGCGCGTGTGAAGTGCAGCAAGAAAACAATACTTTAAAAAGGCGGTTGGCTTTTTTGGGGGTGTGAAAGGAACTTGATCTAAACCTTGCCCAGTTTCATTTTTACTAACGGATAAATATAAATAGCCCTTTCTACTATGCCAACCTGAAAAAAAAAATTATATCTTCTGTAAATTGAGATGATTTAGAATAACAGAGTTGGAAGGGACCTTGGAGGTCTTGTAGTCCAACATATTGAATATAAGTATAATGCACAGAGAGTTTATATGACATATATTATCAGGGGAAGTATCAGTGTGTATGGGGGGATATAGATGAGTTGAGGAGTTCCATAAGGAAACCGCTGTATGGTAGAAGCTGTTCCTTAGCCTGCTGGTCTTAGACTGCAGGCACCTGAACCTCCTTCCAGATGGAAGAAGAGTAATAAACGGTTTATGGGCTGGATGGGAGAAGTCCTTAATGATATTGTAGGCTTTTAGAGAATAGCTTGACTCCCTCTTCTTTGGGGCAACCCCTCAAGTATTGGAAGACTGCTATCATGTCCCCCGTAGTCTTTCTTTTCCTTAAACTAGACATACCCAATTCCAGCAACTATTCTTTATATGTTTGACTAATGACTAATTCTATGACAAAATGCACTGTAAGGCATAACTACGAACAAATATCTGTGTTTGCTCTGTTTATTTTAGCACTATGTAGTATTTTTGTGCCGTTTCCCTGCCTTTTCTTTTTCCCCATTTTATTTTCCTTTTCATGTTTTATGCTTGTTTTGATGAAAGGCCAGAACGCAAGACTGAAGATATTTCTTGCCTTTAGCCACTGTTTAGAGAGCTTTACGTCCATGAAGTGAGTTATAATGCTTGAAACAACGAAATAATTTTTGTGAGCAGGAGGCTGGCGATCTCTGCTCTGGCCCCTGCCTTATTTCTGTTATAAAAAGGGGGAAAGGAACTCTTGGGAATTCTTGGTTGCTTTGTACTCAGAAGAACAGAGATCTGGGTTAGATATTGTGCTATTTATTACGAACTTCAGACAGAGCTCATAAATTCGTAGGAGGCGGGGAAATGAGTGACTTGAGCCTACCTACCAAACGCAAAGATGCTGATATGAAAACACAGGCTAGAATCCTTTGTCCAGGACAAAAAAAACACCCAACACTTGAAATAGATTCAGTTCCTACAAAATCATTTACAGTAGGAGCTTTCAATGCCCTCATGAGATGGCTGTTGGCCAAGTTTTGGTCAAATGCTGGAAAATGTGTAGGGGAAGAGCCAACCCCTCTGCAGAACATCTGTTGAAGAAGATGATGTGAAGGGAAGAAGCTAACATGGTGCCTCAAATGTCACTGAAGGTAGCAGAATGCGAAGAGGCAGTGAAACACAACTATGGGAGACACAAAACATCTGGAAGACAATACCTATGGATCCCCTATGGATATAGACTGAACAGAAGAGCTGTGCAGATAGTTAATGGCTGGCTGGCTGGCTAGCGATAGGTAGACAAATGGATAATGGAGAGATGATGAACAGATAAGTGAGTGAAAGATGGATGGATAGATGATAGGTAGTTAAGTAGAGAGGAAATAGAGAAGTGATTGATAGATGAGTTAAGTAAAAAATAAATATTAGATGATGATAAAACGATGATAGGACAGAGTGAGATAAATAATGAGTGTTTGTGTTAAGTTATCCCTGGGGAAATAGGGGTTATACAAAGGATAGACAGACAGAGATAGATAGATGAGAAATAGATGATAGATAAATAGATGAGAAATAGATGAGATAGATAGACGAATCATAGATGAGAGAGAGATAGGCAGGCAGACATGACAGATAGAGATAGTAGATAGATGACAGTAAATAGATAAATAGATAGTGTGCAGCAAGACAGTTTGGCACTGTCATGTCGATTGCGAGGATTGTTACCATTATTATTCCTGTTGTTATTGTTCCTATAGCTATTGCATGGATGCTACTACTGTTGTTATCGCTACTGTTGCTCTCCCATCATTTATTTATTACATTTATTTGCTGCCCATCTCGCATCAAAAATGACTTTGGGCAGCTATTGGACCTGTTGTTAGGATTTGCTATTGTTATTGTTGTTGGTGTTTTCTCATTGCTGTTGTTACTATGGCTGTTATGTCAACGTTATTGTTCCTATCGTTATTCTTCCTATTTCTATTGTTAACTAGTGTTACTGTTTATGCCATTGTTGTTACGGCTATGATGGCTGTTAGTCCCTATTGTTGTTTCTACTGTTGGTATTGGTATTGGTAGTGCTATTATTTTTGCTACTATTCTTATTATTGGAACAGCTGGTGAATCCTAAGGGTTGTATCTCCACCAGACTATGGATCTGGAAATAGGAACAAACCCTGCTATTTTTTAAAAATTGCTTATTATGGTGATGATCGTCATCTTCATTTTAATTATTAGGCTAAATTTTTAATAACTCAAAAATAAATTAAATGTTTCATTAATAATTAAATACTAAGCTTAACAACAAAGTGCATTATTAATAACATCAAGCCACATATAGTCTTCCAAAGAGAGCATCCAAAAAGCATCATCTCATATGCAATTATCATTATTATTATTATTAATAATAATAACAGCAGTAATACTGCTAATAACAGTCATGTAACAATAGTAATAATAGAGATCATAATATTCCACACATGTAAAACATCCCTAACGATAAAGTGGTAACATTGCTTTTTGAAAAGAACATCACGAAAAATCACAGATTTTCAGTTGCCTATTAAAACACACTAAGGAACATATTCGTATTTCAATAATTACAGGAACAATTGGTTTTTAGTGTCTATGGCTGATTGTTGTAACTCCTCTGAGTGAACTCTGAATAGCTTTTCTCTGTGATTAAAGGAGGATACTTAACTAGGGCACTTTTATTTGAATTTAAAAAAGAAACCAAATGTTCTCTACAATGTAGAATAGTTAGTGGCATTTGGGGGAGCCCCAAAGAGATTTAAATTTGAAAAAAAAAAA